GAGGCTCAAGTTGCTGCTGTGATATAATTGATATGGGTCACTGGGTATTTAAAGTGCGGGGGGGGAATGAAGCCTAGGGTAATAAATTCCTGAAATGAGAGCACAGTCAGCTTTGTGGCTGAGGTCTAGCGATGAATGAGGCTTGGGCAGCATAGTGTGTTCCTGCTATGGGAATTAATCCCCAAGAATAAGGATCAGTGTATAAGCGGCCACCGCTCATTTGTGTGACTTCTCCATAGCTCAGCTCAGGAAAGTGTCTCCCTTTCCCCCTACAAAAAGTTCCCCAGTTGCCTAAGAGCAATAGGACTGACATTACTGCAATTCTAATTTCCTCTTGGCAGCTCTCCCCTGCTCTCTGAGTGCCCTCTCCTTTATTGCCATGTATCACATTGAAAAAGAAATTTGCAATTATGACTCGTGCTAATAAAACAAAAGCACAGCCAATAAAAGGCAAGAAGAGAGACTTTGTAGAACGACTGCTCAGGAAACCTTTCCAGTAGCACTGTCTCTCAGTGCTGCACTCATCACATCTACAGCAGCTTATGAGGTTGAAGGGCCCCACACCATAATATCTCTGGCCCCTGTGTAAACACTAACCCCCCTGTGATTCTGAAAGAAACAGTCAGAGACCTACTGCTCCAGCTGGACTGTCACAAGTCGATGGGGCCAGATGAGATCCACCCGAGAGTGCTGAGGGAACTGGCGGAGGTGATAGCCGAGCCGCTTTCCATCATCTGTCAGCGCTCCTTGTTGACTGGTGAGGTCCCAGGAGACTGGAGGCTTGCCAATGTGACTCCCATTTATAAGAAAGGTCGTAAGGAGGATCCGGGGAACTACAGGCCTGTCAGCCTGACCTCGGTGCCAGGGAAGGTTATGGAGCAGATCGTCTTGAGGGAGATCATGCGGCATGTGCAGGGTGACCGGGGGATCAGGCCTAGCCAGCATGGGTTCATGAAGGGCAGGTCCTGTTTGACCAACCTGATCTCTTTCTATGATCTAGTGACCCATCTGGTGGATGAAGGAAAGGCTGTTGATGTGGTCTACCTAGACTTCAGCAAAGCCTTTGACACTGTCTCCCACAGCATTCTCCTGCAGAAGCTGGCAGCCAGAGGCTTGGATGGGTACACTCTTGGCTGGGTAAGGAGCTGGCTGGAGGGCCGGGCACAGAGAGTGGTGGTGAATGGAGTCAAATCCAGCTGGCGACCAGTCGTGAGTGGTGTTCCCCAGGGGTCGGTGCTGGGGCCTGTCCTCTTCAATATCTTTATTGATGACCTGGATGAGGGCATCGAGTGCACCCTCAGTAAATTCGCAGATGACACCAAATTGGCTGGAAGTGTGGTAGCGAGGCCCTACAGAGGGATCTGGACAGGCTGGAGAGCTGGGCTGAAGCCAATGGGATGAGTTTCAACAAGGCCAAATGCCGGGTCCTGCACTTTGGCTACAACAACCCCAGGCGACGCTACAGGCTTGGGGCGGTGTGGCTGGAGGACTGCGTAGAGGAAATGGACCTGGGGGTATTGATTGATGCTCGGCTGAACATGAGCCGACAGTGTGCCCAGGTGGCCAAGAAGGCCAATGGCATCCTGGCTTGCATCAGAAACAGTGTTGCGAGCAGGAGCAGAGAGGTGATTGTTCCCCTGTATTCAGCACTAGTGAGGCCGCACCTCGAGTACTGTGTCCAGTTTTGGGCCCCGCACTGCAAGAAGGATATTGAGGCCCTGGAACGTGTTCAAAGAAGGGCAACAAAGCTGGTGAGGGGTCTGGAGCACAGGCCATATGAGGAGAGGCTGAAGGAGCTGGGAATGTTCAGCCTGGAGAAGAGGAGGCTCAGGGGAGACCTTATTGCTCTCTGTAACTTCCTGAAGGGAGGTTGTGGTGAGCTGGGGGTCGGCCTCTTCTCTCGTGTCATTAGTGATAGGACCAGAGGGAATGGCTTCAAGCTACGGCAGGGGAGATTCAGGCTGGACATGAGGAAGTATTACTTTTCAGAAAGGGTGGTCAGGCACTGGAATGGATGCCCAGGGAGGTGGTGGAGTCATCGACCCTGGGGGTGTTCAAGGAAAGACTGGATGTTGTGTTGAGGGACATGGTTTAGTGGGAGCTATTGGGAATAGGTGAACGGTTGGACTGGGTGATCTTTTAGGTCTTTTCCAACCTTGGTGATTCTATGATTCTATGATTCTATATATACACATAGGAACGTGCGTGTGCACATCCATATAGTTGTATAAGCACCTGTTGATCAGACAGCTTTATATTCTCCTTGATCAAGAGGTTGCCAGCAGGGAGGAGGTACTTGGGAGAGGATGAGCTGGTGACTGTGGTGATACTGTGATACACAACCGTGGCAGGAACAGGAGCAATTTACCTTCTATTTCTATGTCTGGCACAGGCTTCAAAACAGCATGATAATTAAAACCCAGTAAAGATTACGAGGCTGTAAAGGGGAAATTGTGAAACCCTCATGAACTCTTACAGCTCCCATGAAAATATTTCATTTTGTGGTCTGGAGGAGTATTTCCTTGTCTCTTTAAGCACCAAAGGGCCACATTCGTGTAACAATTACTTTCTAAGGGCTGGTGGAGCTGATAGGATTTCACATTGCATTACAAACAACATCCCTAAGCACTGTCCATAAAACATTCTGTCTTTCAGGGCTACATGAGGACTGTAAAACCACTGTAGGCAAGAAGTGGTGCAGAGAACAGAACAGGAAATGACACCTGTGGTCTCCTAAGAAAGTACAAGACTGACGATAGTTCCTTCCTTCAGGGCAGAAGGGTATGTCACCCTATATAGTTGTGCACAGAATTACAGAATGATTAAGGATGGAAAAGACCACTAAGATAATCAAGTCCAACCACCAAACCATCCCCACTACACTCTAAGCCATGTTGCTAAGATGAAGGGGTTCCTGTGGTCTTTGCACGGTTTCCAAGACCTTCACAGTTTGTTCCCTTTGGGAGCCCATCATTTGCCCTGAATGTGTTATGAATGCTCTCTTTGAATTTGTGTGAGTACATTCCACACGTTGAGATGGAGGAACAGTTACTAGAAGACAATGTGCTGAAGGATTGCAAGGAAAGTAATGTGAGAAAGTTTTCCAAGGGCTCAGAGACTTGTGCTTGTCTTGAATTTGCAAGAAGTAGTAAATTCATAATCACGGAATGGCCTGGGTTGAAAAGGACCACAATGATCATCTAGTTTCAACACCCCTGCTATGTGCAGGGTCACCAACCACTAGACCAGGCTGTCCAGAGACAACCAGAGCCTGCCAAATCTGCACCATACCGCAAGCACACATACAGTTCATCAAGGAGATTGTACAACTTGGACAGCACCCAAGAATAGAATCATAGACTCATAGAATTGTATGAGTTGCAAGGGACCTTTAAAGGCCAACTGATCCAACTCCCCTGGAATGATCAAGAACATTTAAGCTTGATCACGTCACTCATAGCCTGGTCCAACCTGAGCATGAGTATCTCCAGGTACAGGACATCCAACCACATCTCTAGGCAACCTGTTCCAAGTATGTGGTGGCTGCTATGGAAATCATGAGTTATAAAGACATCTGATGAGACATGTTCTCAAGAGCCTTTCCAAACACCTATTCAGAAACCAGTGGTGTGTGAGTACCACCCTTGGGTTTGGAGCCCAACTGTGGCTCCAGATGGGCATGGACGGGTGTGGACCGTGTGAGAGGGTAAGCCAACATGTTGTATGAATAGTTACTTGCTTACTAAAACAGCTTGACTCTACCCACAATAACAGCTTAATGAACACAAGGTGTTCCCAAAAGATCTTTCCCCCACTTACTTAATCCTCTACTAGTGAGAGAGGATTGCAACAAACGCCAAGATGGAAGTCAGACCCTCTACAAGGGGCTTCTTTGTTCCAGGCAGGTTTGGTGCCAAAAGAACCCCCTCATTGTTCATCTTGTCCAGGTGTGTTGTAGCAAGAGGGTTGTTACTGTGCCATCCATGCTATCTGGAAACATATATGTGATGTAATTACCTCAATTGCAAATCCTTTTTGTTTCTTGATTTCATGATCTAGGTAAGTCCCAGCATGTTACTGCCTCTCCTCTCTTCACAGTCATGCTGTGCTGTTCTTGCACTTTGCAGTCCAACAAATTCCTTCTCACACCTCAAGACAGTGAACAGACCTGACCCAGGTCTGTAAATACCGGGACTTGGTATTTATTGCTTGTGGTGGTGTGATGGACAATGTGATGTGTAATTCAAAGAAAAATCTTTTAAATAATTTACTTTGGAAGAATACAGACTGGTACATTTGAAATTTTCTTATTTTCATGTGTCGTGGCATCTACCAGCACAGCTGCTCAGTGGGTAGAAAATGTGGACTTCAAAGCTTGAGATCAGCCGTGTAAAGATGAGGCAATCTCAGATTATTAAGCAATTAGAGACAAATGGAATCCAAAATAGTTTGACTTTAGGTCACAGTAACCCAGCCTGAATTCAGAGCTCCACACCTACCTCAAAGGGTCTGAAATCTATCTTACATTTACCGTGCAGCTTCTTTTCCATCCTCCCATGTCTGGATCCATAACAGGCTCCTGTCTTGCATCCTCTCTGCAGCACATCTTGGATGCCACAGTTAGTGAATACAGAGCTCATGTATTGTCCCAGGAAGATCCCACATCACCATGCATGATCATGGTGGCTGCTCTCCACTCTTACTCATGCAAATTCCTCATTGAAAGAAATGAACTCTTGGATTTAATGGCCAAAACTGACACGAAAAACTGAGTTTATGAAAAAAATGAGAACAGAAATCAAAGGATTCTTAACAATTGGAATTACTGGGTTCTTTTAACACAGCGGTTGTGAAATTCTTGTTCAGTTAGACTGTGGCAGCTGGGAATTGGACTGATTGATTCAGAAGACCACTTCTTGGAGGACACCATATGACTTTGGACCTGGAAAAGAATCTTTTCAATACCACAAACATTCTTAAAAAAACAAAGCACCAGAGCCTTTGAGGAGTCCTCAAATATCTTTTAATTCTGAAGCTTCAAGACAGATGCACGAGCAGTTACACAGCTCAGAGAGAACCCATCTCAGAATGTGAAACTCAGCTGGGTTTGCTATTCACCTGACAAATACAAGTGCAGTGCATCCTTGGTTTGGAAAGCTGACATAAACTTATCAGCCCCAGTGAATAATATAGAATCTTTTATCAGGCAGGTACAAATGGCCAAGGCAGGACAGAATGGTGATGTGAGCTCTCCTCATTCTGCAGAGCTAGAATGTGCCCTCCTCCTGCCCTTGCTGAGCATTCAGTGCTGAGCTACTGTGTGTCCTTCCAGCACATCAAATGGTGATTAGAAAATATCTTCTGAGCTGGGCATATTCTAAAGATATATTCAGAAAAAGAGAATTAAGTTCAGCTATTACCTTTATACTGACAATTTTCTCCTACATTCACTATCATCCAGTGCAGTATGAGCTGCAGAACTGATGCCATATGCTCTGTGATAATGAAAAAGTAGAAGTGGAAACAAATGGTCCCACGTTACCTCCCATTACGAGAATTGGCTTATTACTATCTAGAGGAATAAGCAACTAGATCTCTTTGCAGTGGAAACAGCAGAAAACTAAATGCATCAATGACTGTCACTGCAAAAAGTAATGGCAGAGCTGAAACAGGCTTCCCGTGCAGCAATGCTGTTGGAACAGCTTCAAAATCATCACGATCCCACATGTTACCAACAAATAATGTCATGGTGCTTTTTACTTCAGTGTGGTCTGAACTTTCACTGATGGCTCTGGCCTCAGCCGGTGTGAAATCTCTTTTTCCATCCTGCCTTACATCCCAAGGCAAAGCAGCAGCGACAGAGCAAAGCCAAACACCCCACATAGTCTCCACCAGAATGCCTGTTCCTCCTGCAGTGCAACCACTACTGGGAGAACACATTAAGGAAGCATTACATGATTACACATCAACCCCTACCCCAAGAAAATCCCCAAGCCAAATTTTAAATTGCATTTCCTTTCTTGCTAGCGGTCACCCAGAAGATACATTCTTTTGCCATAAATTATAACAGAAACACAGAAATCTGAACTTGCAACCTGACAGCCCCTGCTGCTCACTGTGGCTGAGCAGATTAAACAGTGGTGATTTTCTTGTCCTTGGTGGCCTGTTTGATAGCAGCCTGCTCACAAATGATCTCCTTCAGCCTCTGCAGCCTCATGTTCTGTGTGGTTTGGTCTCCCACACCCGTCTGGCTCCGATGCAGTAAGTTCAGGGCATAGATGTATTCCAGCTCTGTGTACTTCACACCTTGATCCACCACCAGGTTTAAGAGCTCATCTGCTGTGTTGTAGAGCATTTCATAATACTGCCTGGAAAACAAGCAAACAACCATCTGGTGAGTATTGATATTTGATGCTCCAGACCTTTAATTCTATAGGATATCATCAGTGATTATTTTTTATTCAGCACTGCCATGAGCTGAGAAGGTTGCATCAGGTGCTGGACAAGCAGAGCACAAAGGCATTCCTATTTAACACAAAGTTAATACAAAGTGCAGGAGTGCATGGGAGCAAACCTCTTACTCTCCCTGCTCCCAACACTTCCATACTCAAAACACAAATTATGGGGAACTGAGGGATCCTCTTTGCTAATTGTTACCTTCAGCCAAGATGTCACACATCCATGCTCTGTGTCTCAATTTCCCCCTCTGTACTAAGGTGAAAGATCTCTTGCAGGTCTGTGATCTAGATAACACCAACAGAAAAGCATCCTGTCCAGGGGAAGCTGTGCAAGCATAACGTTTTACAAAGCTCCTTTAGGCAGAGGGGGTCCCAAACCTTTCAAACCCAGACCCTTCAAAGTCAGGGATAAGGGGAAGCTTCTCCTTTATGACTCCACAGTACTAAGATCCAGGGAGCAGTGAATCTTGGCTGTGGGCTTTGGTCTGTTTGGGGTATCAAAGCAAGCAAAAAAAAAAGAAAAAGAAGTGGTGCATGGATAGAAAGTACTCCTTTTTCTAGAGGAACTGGTTAAACTGTGTAACTTGCACAGATGTAACAGAGCCCTATATAGAAATAAGGGTCTGAAAAGCTTAGGGAAGAAGTAAAAATATCCCTTTCTTGCATCACGTTGCAGCAAGGATTCTTTCAACCAAATGCTGTAACTTCCAGCATTTGCATGACTTCCCCATGCGTCTGCAGGAGAAGGCTGCAGTCTAATCCTTATGTCTTGGTAGGATCAATTATTTAAAACCCAAGAGGAAGGGCTCCAGGAAAAGTTATCACCTCGTTCCCTCTCTCTGCTCTTTGACTGCATTAAAATAACAATCAGGGCAAGCATGGCAAAAATGCATATTAAATTCCTCCTGTTCTTTACTTTGCAGGCTCTTGGGTCTGGTTTAGCTGTGCTTTTGCAGAGCATGCAGCTTGCCAGCAGACTGCAAATCACTGCAGCAATGACTGGAACTGGCTGTAACAAAACCATGTGTTTGCAGCTTCGTGCCTGGTTGTGTGGCCAAGGCTCCTGGGCTTCAGAGCTCTGCATTTTCATCCGCTGTCTCCTTCTAGACATTGCCTGCTGCTGTGAGATGAGACTTTGCTCCTGCGGCTGAAAGACTGCAGCAGCATCACTGCTATCATAGACCAGGTGGGATGAAGGGCTTGCACCTAGAGGAAGGGGACTCAAAAACCATCACTTCCAAGAATAAGGACTGATAGGATTTGTGTTCAGTGATCAGAGAAGAAGGAAGTCTGCTTGTGCAAGTGAAGGTACACACAGAAAGTACAAGAAGCAAATAAAAAATAGCTTCTGCCGATAAACAACAAGCTGAAAAACCAATCAGTTAGGCTCCACACAAATGAGATACAGAATACAAAATCCCGAAACTGAAGGAGGATGAGTTTTCCAGCATCACCAACAGTCCCAGGGGACACTGAGCTGGGCTGTGGTACAAGGGCACATGGCTCTCCTTAGAAGCAAGGGAAAACTGGGCAGGCTAACTTTTGCTTCTTGAGAACACAAGATATTCTGTGATTCTGCAATACAATTCTTTTCTCTTGGAAAAGAAAGGGGAACCATGCAAGCTGCTTAAGAATAGCATTGTCAAGAACTGTTCAGCAGCAATTTTGATCAAAAGGATTCCTCAAATCCCCCTAACTTAAGAGAAGGATTCCAGACTGTACATCTGCAAAGTCAGGTGGATATATAAGGATGGGAGAGACCCTGCATATCCTTGTATCAGCTGATATTTGCAGATGGCATTTGGGTAATCCCTACAAGCTACAAACTCATCAGCTCTTGTGATTCTGATAATGCCAAATGAGGCCAGTGCTTCAGAGAATGACTGAAAGTACCCATGGGGTTCAGGTAAGAAGATTCTGCAAGGCTGATTTGGTCCCCTGGAAAGCCATGGCATCAAATTTTGTCTTTTGATAGAACAATAACAAAAGCCACTAAACTCTGGGACTGCACTTCTTAATTCTGGATTCAGAAGGCAGGAGACTAAACGAATCCTCACCTCCAGTCACTGGAACAGATGGAGAATAATTAAACAGTTTTATCTGGGATGCTGCAGAAAGGCCAGAGAGTCCAAATTCGAATAGCAGTACCTACCAGCGGGCTCTACAGCATCCTTCTGGCATCCTGGTATGTTCACTCAGTGAAGCACAAAGTGCCCAGATGCTGCAGTGAGCCTCAACATGTTAACAAGATTAAGCTATTTATAAAGCTGTTTCAATACACAGGGAGAAATCTACTCTTAGGTTAACTCTGAGGGTATTGGCAATATCTCAAGTACAGTTATATACACAAAGTATAAAAAAAACCAACCAGTACAGCTGCCAAAGTAAACAGTGAGATTTAGGAAACATTGATCACCTTCAGATATTTTAAGCTGAACAGACGTGAAATGAAATTTTGCTTTTCCCAGTTCTGGTGGGATTTTGGGAAGAACACCAGAGAGTGTATCTTGGCTGGGGCAATCTCTCTGAGATGGAAGGCTCTGCTCAAAGCATGGAACTCTTGGTCTTTCTAAAAGAAGAACCTAAAAGAATAAGATATCTCTCCTACTTCTGCCTTCCCCCAGCCATATTCTCAGAGAAACATTAACTGTTGCACCTGGAATGTTTCTACTTGTTTCCCCATCAGGCAAATTTTAAACTCAGAGACTGTCTGACAAGAATGCAATTATACAGAGAGAAAACTGGAGGCTGGAGCTGTGCTACCAGTTTTGCTCTCATGTGCTAAAACAGTTTCCAGTTCCTGCAAGATAAGTCCTTCGGAATGCTTCAGAACATTTCTTCAGAACATTCTCCTCTCGGTATTTTGATTCTCCTTTGCAGCAGGGGATCAGGAGGGAGAAGAAACAACTGCAGCCCCTTTGCGCATCTGTCCATCTGGTTCCACCTCTACTGCTGAAATACCTTTTGGGTGCATTACTCTGGGGCACAGCCTTGAGCATCCCCTGGTTCTTCAGGCTGGCTCTGTGATGGTGAAGGGCAGGGGAGGTTCAGGTTGGATATTAGGAAACACTTCTCTGAAAGAGTGGTGAGGCACTGGAACAGGTGCTGAGGGAGAGGGTGAAGTCATCGTCCTTGGAGGTGTTCAAGAAACATGGAGATGTGGTACTTAGGGAGATGGCTCAGTGGGCCATAGTGGTGGTAGGTGGACGTTTGGACCAGATGATCTTAGAGGTCTTTTCCAACCTTATTGATGCTATGATTCTACGACTGGTCAAGGTGTCAATGGGCATCTGGGTGACCATTACCACTTTATAGTCTCTCCTGAGATGCTAAAGTTGCTCTGTCTGCAGCACCATTATTCAATGCAAACCTTGTCTTTACTCTGTCCTTACAACTGCTTTTCTTCTTAGCCTGTCCCAAATCCTGGGTTACTGCAGATGAATTCCGTACCTAATAAACACAGGATTCATCTGTCACTCTGTTCAGGATCAGATTATTTTTTAATTAAAAATTTCCTGCAAAATGAAAAAAAAAAAAAAAAAAAGAGCAAGCAAGACTGTATGAGTGAGCAAAAGGTATGCATTTTTAATTGGGAGCAATTAAAAAACTGCTGCTTTGGCATGGCATTGCCTTTGGCCAAACTTTATTTGCATGAGTAATTATTCACTCCATTATGAAGTCTGCTCAACTTTGCCTCCCTTGTCTTTGAAAGTATTAATAAATATTGATCAGACACACTCCTGTTTGCCTTTGCCCAAGCAGCTCTGATGGACTCATCTTCTGATGTTATCAAATAATGAAATATGAAAGAGTGAGTGGGATGAGCCTCTTGTTCTCTGATTTTTTATTTAGGCTCTTCATTTTACTTTCAGAAGTGTATTTGTCCCTGCCGTTATAAATGCTCTTTTGATTATCAAGAGGAGGTTGTGAAAAGCAAGTTAGTAAGGGATGGGGGAAATAAATGGATGACAGGTGAGGGAGATCTCTATTCAGTGAAATGCTGGCAGACTGCTCTGGTTTTTAAAGTTGAGATTTAAAGCCAGGAAGAAGAATTAATATTTATCAAAAGTTGATTCTATCATCTGACAAATGGGTTAATAAATAATAATAGCAGATTAAAATACCTAACTGGAAAATGAATTTAGTTTCCCAAGCCTTCCGTTGGCTTCCATGTGAGCACAGCTAAACACGTGTAAGATGATTTATCCTAAACTGACCATGAGTTTGGGCACCAAGATCCACTGAGCAGTCTGATACTTGGGTTAAGAAGAGAACAGAGCGGAGAACAGATCAGGAATCTTTACCCACCTCAGTCAGGAACGTGGCTGATGGGAACAAAGTCACCTGGGTGACTCAGCTCGTCAGGGAAATCTTATTTGTATGCTTACTTGCATCGTTAGTATTTATTTGCCTTACGCTGAAAAGTGTAGATAGGGCTTGTTGAGTTCATCCCTAAGGCAAATGAATAAATGTAGCACAAGTTGTTTCAGAGTGACTTGTTCTGGATGCTGTCTTCAAGAAATTGGAAGGAAAGAAGATTATTAGTACTAACATGGACGCACCAAGGGAAATCATGCCCTACCAACCTGGTAGACTTCTGTGATGTCTTCACTGACTGGGTAGATGGGGGGAGAACAGCAGATGTTGTGCACCTTGACTTCAGCAAGGCTTTTCACACTGTCTCCCACAGCATCCTCGTAATGAAGCTTAGTAAATGCAGGCTAGATGAGATAGTTGCAAACTGCCTCAGCAGCACAGACATAAGCAGCACAGAGTACAGTCAGAGGCCTGTAAGTAATGATGTTACCCAGGAGTTGGTGTTGGGTATCTCTTGTTCAACATCTTAATCATTGGTCTGGATGAAGGGACAGAATCCCACCTTAGCACGTTTCCTAATCATATAAAGCTGG